CCTTTAGCCGTGTCGTAGACGCCGAAGTAGGCGGCGCGGTAGATGATGATGCCCTGCACGGACACGTTGAAGCCCTGGTAGAGGCCGCGGATGCCGTCGGACCTGCTGATCTTGACCAGGCAGTCGCCCAGGCCCTTGAACTCGCGCTCCGTGCCCGACTTGCCCACGTCGGCGGCCAGGCGCGTGCGGGCAAAGTCCAGCGGGTAGACGAAGCACAGGGAGGTGGCGCCGGCCGCCCCGCCCGAGGCCAGGTTCCCGGCGAAGTAGCGCCAGAACTGCGTGTGCTTGTCCACGCCGCCCAGGAAGACCTGCTTGTACTTGTCCTTGAAGGCGAAGTTGAGGGCCTGCGTGGGGAAGTAGCGGATGACGTTGGCCAGGTTCCCGCGCCAGAAGGACAGCACGCCCTGCTCCCGGGGGATGCGCACGATGCAGTCCACGATGCCCTTGTACTGCTGGTCCACCGCGATCTGCTTGCTGGCGTGCTGCACCTGCAGCAGCAGCTTGACCCGCTCGATCGGGGCCACGGCCGTCTTGGAGATGGCGGCGGCGATGCCGCCCGCCAGGAAGTCCTTGGCGAAGGAGATAGCTTGGTCCGTCATGGTGCCGGGGCGGGCGGGCAGCCGGAATGGACACGAGAGGGCCGGGAGGGTGGGCGCCGCTGGCTCCGCCGCAGCCGCCGGGACCGAAAGGCCCATCTCTATTTTTATTGACCTGTAATCCACGTGTCCTACAACTCTGCAGTTTGAGTATATTGGCCGACCCTCCACTTTGCCAATGAAGATGCTCTTTTCCAGGGACGGGTCCCCCATACTGCCTTGTTCAGAGTAACGTGGAAGATGAAGTCTCCCCACCCTCGCTTCTAAGGAACACGAGGGCTGGGCTTCTTCCAAGACAGACCGATCTACTCTTCTGGAATCCACGGCCCTTTCAATAGTCTTTGCCAACACTCCGCACTTCAAAGGCATCCAATCTCCTCCCGCCTCCCTTCTTCACTGTCCAGCTTCGACAAACAGATGAGGAGTTCATACCATGGCTTTGCATCAGGCAGGAGCCCTGGTGGCGGAGTGGGTTACACATTGGACTGCTAACCTCAACGTCAGCAGTTTGAGACCACCAGCTGCCCTGAGAGGGAAAGACGGAGCCTTGGAAACCATGAGGCACAGCTTTAGAAACCCACAGGGGTGGTTCTATTTTGGTATATCGCAGCGGTTCTCAACCTGTGGGTGGCGGCCCCTTTCAGAGGGTTGAATGACCATTTCACCAGGGTGGTCTAAGACCATTGGAAAACACATGTTTCTCATGGTCTTAGAACTGAGACACCGCTCCCCTTTCCGTCTCCAGGTGGGTCCGCCCACATGCAGATATACTGATCTGGTGAGAAAGAAGCTATCTTAATCTTCACACAAGACGTTGGCTTTTTACGTATACTGTCCCACAATGTAGCAATGTAGTTTACTGTTGTTATATTAAGACTGTTACCTATGCTCCACCATGCTTCCAGACAAAATTTCATTTATTTGTAATTAGAAATAAAAACAAAATTTCGTGTATTTGTAATTAGAAATAAATATCACAATATACAATTACATATTGTTTTTGTGATTAATCACCATACTTCAATTATGTTCAATTTGTAACAATGACAATACATCCTGCATATGAGATATTTACATGATGATTCATCACAGTAGCAAAATTACAGTGATGAAGTAGCAACAAAAATAACTTTATGGTTGGGGGTCACCACCACCTGAGGAACTGCATGACAGGGTCTCGACCTGAGGGCGGGTGAGACCCACTGCCCTAGAGGGTCACCGTGAGTGGGAATCACCTCAATGACAGTGAGGCCCTTTATCAGGGGACAGGGAGAGGGGAAGCGAACCCTTGGGTCAGGCACAAAGATGGTGTCTTTGTTTTCCAACGCGGTCAAGAGGTCATTGGGAGCAGCTTTGCCCAGTGAAACAGCCATTCGATTTCTTCTCGGCTGCTTCCAGGGCTGTTGAGTGTGGAGTCAGGCAACACGAAATCCGCATCTCCGTTCCTCTTTGCTCGATCCGCGTTGCGGATTGGTCCGTTGTGGGGCATCTTGTTTTATGTTGGGGTGCAGTCCACCCTGGAAGCCGTCATCTCTCATCTTCACGAACCCTTGACCTTCTTGGGCAGGAAGATGAAAGCGTGGACAGAACTGGCTGGCCTTAGCTATACAGCAGATGCAGTGTCAGGAAGAGGGAGACAGTGTGGGGCACCAATGGGCGGCAGGAGGTCTCCCGGCCCTAGTGGAGAGCAGGAATGAGGCAGCTTAGGAGAGGAGGGACCAGCCTGGAGGGCATATGGCTGCTGGGTCAATGTACACGGTTGGCCTGAACTAGAAGGACTGGGGGGAGGCTGAAGGGAAGGGGCCGTATGCACTAAACCCACCTCCTGCCCAGGGCGTTTTGATACCTCTGGTGCATACTCAGTGTCCCAGGGTGCTTTGTACACAGGTCATGGGCACACGGATCAAGCTCCTCCCCTTTGAGTCAGAAGCGGGTGAAGAAGCAAGGGCGTCATAAACTCCATCCTAGCAAGGGAGGCACAGCCCATGACATTGTTGGATTGCCAGGTCAGCAGGGCAGGCCCAGTGTCCAGCGTCGTGTGAGTTTCTGGGCCCAACAGAGTCGGCAGCTACGTCTCCACCCAGTCAGGTCTGCAGGGTGGTTTTGGCTGCCACTTTGGCTGCCTAGATTCCAAGCCCAGTTCTTGAACCTTCCCCAAGTGTCGGTGACCTCCCCAGTGCCTCCTTAAAAAAGTCAAACAAACGTTTTATTTTGGAACAACTTCAGAGTCCCCGGAAAGTTTCAGAGATAGCCCAGAGAGTGCCAATAGGCTCATCAGCCAGGTCCCTCTGCTATAACATCTTACATTCCCAAACTCTGAGCCAAGCCCACCACCGTCAAGTCAATTCCAAGCTCATCTCAACTCTGTCGACGGCTCTGAGACTAAATCTTTCTGGGAGCAGACAGCCTCATCTTTTCTCCCAATAAACAGCTTGGGGGTTTGAACTGTCAATCCTGTGGTAAGCACGCCAAAGCTTACCCAGCAACCACCAGGGCTCCTTACTAGGGAACAGGTATCAAAGCTAAGAAAATGACATCACTCCAAGCTGTGAACTCAGCTTCACTTGCTCAGTGGTGCAAACGGTTTCCACTAACTGGAAGACTGGAGGTTCGAATCCAGCTAGAGGTACCATGGAATCACCATGGTGATCCGCTTCCAAAAGATCAGACGTGAAGCAAATGTGGCCAAGAAAGCTGATGGTGCCCGGCTATCAAAAAGTATAGCGTCTGGGGTCTTAAAGGCTTGAAGGTAATCAAGCGGCCATCAA